CAATTCAACAGTAAACAAAGCTGAATCATGTGGTTTTTTCATGGTCTCAGTCTCTACGTGTCGTTCTTCTTCTCAGAATGATTTGTCATCGATTATCTGATGGTCCCATTTAAGTAAAACATTTTTATGGTAACAGTGTATTGCTTTTTAGTGTCGTGGGCGGACCTTTGATGTGATATAGCGTTCTTCTCATGTCTCAGTCCCATTCTAACGCCCATGGAAGCTCATTGTATTCAAGGACGTAGTCAAACAGTGCTGATCAGATATGGATCCAGATTCTGTTGTTGACTATTTCTCTCCTCAAATCTGTTCACAAACACATTTTACTGTTTATCTGGAATACCAGATCCTGTGAGACCAGGTGAGCTGCCATTGTTGAAACTGAGCAGCCAATCAACTCACAGTTCGTCACCTCCACTGGCTCCAACAAACTGTCATGGCGACGACCATAACGCCAAAATGGAGGCTTCATTTGTGCTTAGACCCTTAATAATAAAAATGTTCTTATCTGTTTGTGTTGCTTTCCTATCTGACGTGCTCTTCAAGTAAACTTTCTGTGCCTGTTTTTTTACTAAAATGTCAGCGTTGACCTTCACTCTCACCCTTAATGTGCAGAGAAGGATGTGGACATTAGATTTTCATTGTTATTGTATTTCTGTCCTCCAGGCACAGACTGAAGGCGCTGAATTGTCTCTCCATTTATTCTGTCTTTCATTCATTCCTCTAGCGTTGGCTAACCCAGAAACTACAGATGAAACTTTGACGAATCAGGACACTCAGAGCTCAAAACCAGTGGTGAAATATTTGTTTCTGATCGGCCGACAGGAGGAGGTGTGTTTTATATCCCCACCTACTCGTTTGACACACACTGATTGGCTCCATGCTGTGTCGGCCGAGCCCTCTGGTCATACAGAGAGAGAGAGACATTATGCAGGATGATGAAGTTTTACAACCCTACTGTACTTCTTTAAGCTCTGGAAATGTGAACATTTTTAAAGCAGAGAGGAGTTGTCATCCTGCAACCGAAGCTGCCCTCGGGATCCACTCTCACTACCACAACTTTTTCTCCTCTGCTCTCTCCACATTTATAATTTTATGAAAAGGCAAAAGGCTCCTCTTGAATCGATGAGGCATTAAACATGATTATCTGCTCGCACTGTGCTGCGCTTTGGATGAAGATGAGTTGGAAGTACGACCTCCAGGCTGAGTTTTCAATTTGAACATCAGTGACTTTTCGTAGGGGGAGGGGAGCTACGGGATCCCTGAGCAGACAAAGTTGGTCGCTAATTTTGTGTCACGCTTCTCTCCAGTCGAGGCAAGTTTTACGTTAGACATTGAGTGTATTACAACAGAATATAATGGTAGGAGGAGGAATGTGGTGCAGACAAAAGTGTAATTAAAAGAAATTGCAGAACAGCCAGAGGAAATCAAAAAATACTTTCGTAATATGATACAACCCACCCAGAGTCCTGGTCGGAGCCGCCGTAACGTTAAATCTTGATCTATAACAGTGTCTCAGTGGCCACCGGTGTCATATAAAGTTAATCTATGCACTGTTATCGATATAAAATATGAAATATATTTGAATAAAATTAAATGGGAAAGTAAATCAATAGGGGAATTAATAGAAAGGCAAATAAATACAGAAGCAAATTAAAACATTTTTGGTGCATTTAATGGCATATAATATATTATAACAAAATATAATGGTAGAAGGAGGAAATGTCAAAAATGTTGTTAAAAGAAATGGAAGAAAATAGTTTCTCAGAATGATACAATCAGAGTCCTGGTCGGAGCCGCCGTAACGTTAAATCTCCTTACGACAACGTCTCAGTGGTGTGAAACACATTTCATTTAAAGTGAATCAATGCGTTCTGATCGATCAACCAGCAAAAAGTTGATCGTATGACACACCTCGATTGACACAACCCCTCATTTGCGTAATGAGTCAGAAATGTAAAAAGTAAAAAGAGAAAAAAAAGTTTGGGTAAATGATACATAAATAATTATAATTAAAAAACAATGGATCAAATTGTGAATTAAATAGGATACAGAAGCAAATAAAACAGAAATATTAATTTATGTCACGTTTCATAACTTTAATTAATGCCTACTTTTATTTCAGTGCTATTTTTATATTAATTTATAAGTTGAGTCATTTGTTTATTTTTGATTCTGGCAGCTGATGTATTTCAGTGTTTTCCTAATGTTTCCTAATGCGTTTCCAGTCTGCCCGTCTGTCTCTCTATGTGTCTGCTGGCATGGGCGTGGCTACCTCTCCCTGACTCACCTGGCTCCCGGCTCTGTTGCAGTTACACACCTGATCTCAATAAGCTCATCGCTGCTTCTGCCAAACCTTTCTCTGTAGTTCAGTGAGATTTTGATTCCTCGTTGTTTCCTTTGCCTCAGGATCACAGTCTCCCGCTGAACCGCCATGGGCCACGCTTCCCTCTATCCTCAGATCTCCAGCCATCGCCCCTTTTATTATACTCCCACTACAATAAAGACCTTTTCCACTCTCTGTTTGAGTCCTTATTAGAAGTGAGAGTAAGCAGCAACAAGGACTCAGAGAAATAACGGTAGTACACTGAAAATAGCCAAATAATTATATTTTTGTCATATTGACGATAACAAAATATTGATTTGCCAGAAAGTGTTCCCAGTGCTTCAACTTTTTCTTATTAACTCTTACAACTCTGCTGGTATTTTGAAATGATTTCTATCCCTAAATTCTGTATACACATTCAGCTAAAATGTTATGTACGTCAATAAACCATAATAATTTTAAAAAAGTATTGAAATTGAGTCAAAAATATAAAAAATATACAAAACTTAGACCTGTTTTTTCATCAGGTTTTATTAAATAACACTCACAGTAGATTCACTTTAGACCACAGACTCCTAATTTGAGAGGAATTCGTCTAAACCAATTTGTGCCTGCAACTAAAATTTTGAATTTCAATTAAAAGAGATTTTTTCTCATCACATTATATTTAGTCTTTGAGCACATTGGGTGACTGTTTTCTTCCCCTACAATTGTAGAAAATTCCCCAGAATAAGCAGTAAAAGCGAGGGATATTCATTATATTCAGTACACACATGTGCGAGGCTCCTTTTATTTATTCCATATACATACAAGTTGCACATACAAATGTTAGAAATTGACCATATTTCAGAAACTACAAGGAGCATAATCAAGTATTTGATATCTATGACTTAAAAGAAGTTGAATATCAAGGATATGCACACATAAGTGAAACAAACATTTAATAAACATAATTTTAGCATTGTTTTCTTTTTTCAAAAATCCTGATTTTGACAAATAAATAAAAGGGTGATTTTTCATGTGATCCAAATATTTAAATGTTGTACTTTTAGATACTTGCCCAAAGTATGTTGGCACAAAATCTAAAGACAATTAGACCAACCAGAATAAATTCTAATACATAAAAAATAAATTGCCAATGGGTTAAATAATCCCCTCTGAGTGCATTTTTAAAGATAATAAAGTCTTTATTGTCGATAAATGATCAAACTGGGCCAACTCATTCTAAGCTAATGAATTCTTATTTTCGCCATATTTTAAAATCTTTAACTCCGCTGTTCGGTTTTAGACTTTTAACGAAGGCGCAGAGGCTCCGATACAGCAACCACACTCTCTGGTTCCTCGTTAGCTGCAGCTTTTAATTTCAAATCAGACAATGGAAACAAATTTCAGGGGTATAAAATGCCCGTAAGGGAAACGATATTGACCAAAAATAATTTTC